TGATTAACTCATAAAGGAATTTACTGACATTTGACTGCCTCGACTGCACTTTTCTGCCACTTTGTTGGTCAAGCTTGATTTCAGTTAGCTATGAAATGTGAGGTTATGGAATACTATGGGGTGGCAGTACTTGTTTCATCATTTTTGGTGGGCTATATGCTAGTTGTAATATAAACTTATGCTTGGTCTAGATTCGGTTTTTTTTTGTTGTTGTTGTTGAAAAGTAGCCCAATTGTTATGTTAACCATTGGTTTCTGTGGTGGCCATTAGGCAGGTGTCTGTGCAAGTCTTATTCACAACTTGTATATGATGGCACATAGCCTGGGCATATGCACTATGAGTAGCAGATGATTAACTTTGCATTCCTATTTCCTCTGAATCCAGACATAACCTTCAGTTTGTTCATGAGGGTCAAATGTTCCAATTCTGTACTCTCCCATTTGGTCTTCTCTTGGGTAGTCAGAGTCTATGATCATCACATTCATGACCTAAGACTGTGGTGTGACCATTAAATAGACGACCAATCATCTTTTTTTTCATACCAACAAAATTCTCCCAATGGCCTCTCAATCCTCAGGTGTTCCAGTGGCTTTGTTCACAACTAGGTAATCTTCTTCTGGATGCTTTTGCCACTCACCTCAATACCAAACTTCCCCTGTTGTGGCCTCCTGTTCTGCATCTTCCAGCTCTAGCTGTGGAAGTGTTCAGCCAGAACTGGTCCAACCATTATCTTTGCACCTAACCGCCTATCTGTCTTCTCCACTGGATAGTTTCTCTTATTCAAACCACTCTGTGTGGGGTACTTCTAATTGCTTTGTTCTGACTGACCCAACATCAGTTTCCTCACTTGCATTTCTCCAGTCATCTCATCTCCTTCTTCTCTTTGATCCCTCCTTCTGCAACCTCATTCCTCCCTCACTCATCCAGTGGTATCCACAGTCTGTCTTCACATGTGGGTTTTGTCTAGTCCCGTGCAAGATGCTCCAGACTCTTTGTGGTAGCCTTCCTTATTTCTTGTTCTGTTCATTCTTCCTCCTTACTTGTTTACCAACATAAATGGCACATTTTCCATCATTGATCTCTGTGTTGTGGCTTTTACCCTTCCAAATCTAATGTTCCCCACCTTTTTGAATTTTTTACTTGGCTCTTTAACAACAGTTTGTCCATTTCTATCAATTGCAGGTTATATGGCAGCACTATTCAATACTTTTTATTTTCCTATTTTTGTTGTGTATTCTTCAGTTTAGGTCTTTTTGCCTACTGCATCCTCCCTGGCCTGCCATCCTCTCAGATTGGAATCTAAATGTTGTCCTTAATGTCTTTACCATACCTCCCTTTGAACCTTTTAGCCTCTTATTCATTGTATCATCTTTCCCTTAACCCTAAAAGACCTGGCTACAAATTCAATTAGTAATATCACTCTCATCACATTTTGTTCCAAAAATATAACTAGTGGATAAAATTGCTTAAAATTTATCAAGAACATTCCTAAGACTATGTAGTTTTCAGAAAAATAAAATATTTAATTATATTTTTTCTACTATTTGTTTAATGTAGTAATTTGCACTTGAACTCTGAATAGTTCACTTGGAAGGTGATTTTCATTTCAAGTATAAAAAATATAATTTATTATCTTACAGTTTTCACATTTCATTTCTGTAATCTCTTAGACCTCCTAAATGAACGTCAAAAATTTTTTAAAGTCAATGTTTGTATTTTATTTTCCATTTTCTCTACTATATCACTAACTAGTTATTATCATCAACATTCAGTGCAATGTAATGTTTAAAATTAATAAATGGAAATATGTACCTACGTTTATAACTCTTCATTGGTTTTAATTGCAACTTCTTTTTTCCAATATGTAATTTCATGTCTTCATCTTTTCAATTTTATAGTTTATTTTTAATTTTCCTTTCCAATTCTTTGATTTTTTTTTTGTTATTTATGCATCACATCAACTGGTGCCTATGAGGCATTATTATTATTATATGATGATTCCTGTGCATAGAATCATCTCACTAGCACTTGCACATGCAAATGATGCCATCTTGTTTATACACTTTCACAATCCAAGCTACAACAAGTTAAACATGTAAAATTCATTAAACCTTTTAAATATGCATTTTAAAACACAAATGATACATAATTAATTAAAATATAAAAGTAATACATAAATTCAATCTAACTGTCTATCAAACTAATACATGTAAGTCAAGAAAAAAATTGCTAAGTGCTATGGACACCAAGATAGAATAACTGACTTATTCTTCATTTCACCCCATTTGAAAATGAAAGCATGCATGCATGTTTACCATTAAATTAACAACATTCAGGAGTGAAATCTGTTTTTTTTTATTGGCTATAAGCATGCTATTCAACTCCAAACTGTTGTATACCAACACAGCTTTGACTTTGCAAGTGGGCGTAGCTAACCTTAAACTAAAGAAATATTTACAAGGGTTTGTTGGGGGAAGAAATTCCCTGAAAGAGGTTGAGTAAGTAATGTAAAACATTTGTATTGTGTATTTTGGCCTTCTGCAGGAACTGTCTGCATTCCAAATACAGATTTTTTTCTGTATCAGCTTTTAAAGTTGAGAAATTGTAACCATGAGCAGATCATGTGACAGCATGTTTAATTGTTGTTTTAGATGTTTCTTTTTGAAATAAAGGAATAAAACATAAATAATATAAAACCTTGAATTATAACACACTTGATAATACTAATTTCATCAAAATACATTGATAATATAGTGGTTTAATTAAATTTTGAATGTAATGCAGTACCAATGGGTTAAGACCTATTTTTTACTCCTTTTTGCATGCAGACATTGATGGTCAGACGTTTCTGCTCTTGTTGTTTCCTGACTTCTTTATCACAACCATATGTTTTCCCTAAAATATCTGACTGCAGAAGGGAAACAGCATGTTCACCCCTATTTCACTTCCCTCTATTGCTCATCTTTATTCCCAGTTCAATCCCGATCATCTCCTTTTTCCTGTTCAAGGTCTTCATTGTTTTCGTGATTCCCATTCCCGACTCTTTCTCCCATGGAACTCATCTTCTACCCAGGATTTCTTTCCTGTTACTCTAACTGGTTGGCTCCATCAACCCATCCATGTGGCTTATACTTTGTTTTAGGGTATTCTTGTCACATATTTCAGGTTTCCTCTCACTAAATTGAGCATTTCTCTCTCTCTCTCTGGCTGCTCGATTCTGTCATCCATTGGAGAAGGTTGTAGAGACTGGCATGTGAACTATGCCTCACACTTTCGTCACACATTACCTTCATCATCTGGCCATCTCTTCTTCATATAGATATTGTTTGCCTCCAATTCCCATTCTCCATACCCCTTATTGGCTCTGAGTGGGTAAGTTATTTTTCTATATATCTTATCTTTACAGTGGTCTGTTTCTACATTTCTGGATCCCAATAAGTGGCAAGTGGTGCCTACCAGGTTATACATAACTTTAAATCTGCACTCTGCAACCTTTAAAGTCTGTAATGCTCACTGATGAGATGAGGTGTTCCACAAGACTGATAAAGGCCTGCTTTTCAAAATAGGGGTTTTGTGGTCACCCATTGCACATTCTTAAGGAATTGCATTCCTCTAGACTTCTCACTGTGTTCTCCCCTTCTAGTGGAGAACAGGCATCCTGTTGTGGACCATGGAGGCTTGCTTCCTCCTGAGTGTGACCACTTCCACTAATTAGAAAGTAGGACATTGGTGTTCTGTTGGTGTAGATGGTGTGTACTTTCCTGCTACTGCAGAACAGATTATAAAATTACCGACACCACATGGTTTTGAACTGGAGGGATCCAACACATGCAGATCACTCCCTAGCCTGCTTTCCCCTATCCTACCACCACCTGAATGTTGGTTCCCCAGCAGTCTGATGTTGGATTGGCACATGACCAGCCAGCCTAAGTACTTACACATGTGGTTGGTAGGGACCCTCCTCCGACTGGATGAAAAATTCCCAACAACACCTGGTTTTGGATTGTAGTTGACCCACTAAATTTGCATTCCCCCTTCCTACTGTTGCCAGGATGTTTGGTTCCCAGGTGGCCTGCTGTTGGTTGTCTACTGGGTCTGCATACATGTGCCCTACCTGTAACATAACAGGCACTGCTTTTCCCTTCTGCTTCCTGAAATCAAGGTAAAGATGGTTGGGACCACCCCTCCTAATACAGACTGGACAACACATACCTGATTAAGCCTGGTTTTGGGCTGGAATTGACCCACCACATACAGTCTGACAGTCCCCCAGCCACTCTACACTATCAAGCACATCCAATTCCCCTACTGGACTTGCTTCTTTTCTGCCCAAATTGGTGACACATATCTTCACTGTGAGCAAAGAGTATACCCTGATACAGAAGAGGTGAGGTCTCCAACAGGTGTGCTCTTATATTTTCGTGGTATAGAGTATCATGCTCCATGGGTTCTCTTTTGGCACCTTCTGGAGGGGGGGGGGTCATCTAGGTAACTTTTGCACTGGTCCTTTCACTGTTTAATATGGGATTCTAGCTACTATGTGAGAAGAGGTAAGGTACTGCAACCTGCATTTAAGAGAATCAACAAATTTCTTCATGGAATGAAAATGTCAATTAAAAATGTCTATTTTTGTCTTAGAAA